GCCGCTGAAAAGATGACCGAGGCGGCGCGCGCCAGGTGTGCAGTCACGTGAATTTGTTTCCGGCTTGCAAACACATTCACTGTAGGTCCGGATGACTCACCTTCTGTTTACTTGAGCCAAAAAACGCGAAAGCTCTCCACAAATAAATGCATCGACGCTAAATAAACTAACCTCTCTCTCCGCCAGTCACAATCTTTCTTTTCTACAACGAAAATAATGGCCCTGCCAATGATCCAACAGTTTCAGGGCAGAACATAAAAGTTCTGGTGCCGCGCGTTCCAACACGTGTTGCAGGAAAAAGCGCTCTGTAGAGTCCAATAAAATAATAAAATGTCGTATCTGGAAGATCCAGGACCCCTGGAACAATAAAAGGCCTGAGCCTTCGCACGCAGAATACCAGAGCACCACGTAGTCTGGTAGAAGTCTACCGACGTTTCAGAGGTGGTTACTGCTTCCATCATCAGGGCAACAACCCAGAAGACAGCCATCTTTTTCGTGAGACGTGTTCTTTGTGTCCTGAACAAATGTCAAACGCCAGTGTGACCCTTTGAAGCCGAAGCTCGTCTAAGTAACATTTAATATAATTCAGTCCGTACCGCGAAGAAAACACTGCACTTCACCATTACAAAGATCGACCGAGTAGGATCTGAGGTTTTCAAGGCGGTGAGTCCGAAGATGGCTGACTTCTGGGTTGTTGAAACTCCAACACCAGGGCGACCATTCTTATGACAAAGGCAGAAAGCACTACCACTGAAACGTCGGTAAAATTTCTACCACAACTTACGTGTGAAACGTCGATTTGTACCGACAGCTTTCGTGTATTCACAAAATGGCGGAGACTGTCCACTGGGGTGAACACACGCAATAAAAGACATCGCATCGCAATGAGTTCGAATATCGACTGCAAAAATCCGAAAGTCCCGGGTTGAAATTTCGGCTCACAGACCGGCCATCTTGGTTTCGTCAGCCCTTCGTGTAAAATCCGGAATATTAACTTAAAATGGGGCAGGACTGTAAAGTTAAACATACTCTCCGATTCAAGATCAACTAATAATCAAACCATTCAACGCCATTAAATACCAGTCCTCTAGAAGAGTTCTTGATAACATAGCAAATTCAATAAATTCTGGGGGGAAAAAGTACTAAAAATCGACTAAAAGCGAAACACGTCGATGATTGTTGGTGTCGAAATTATTCCGATGCTCATTTGTCCCTGAGAAGTCAGCAAATTTCATTACTGGTATTTGATGTAAATATTTAAACATATTACAAACATTAAAAAAAACCTTAATGGATTACAATGATGCAAAAGAAAGCTACATTACAATATTCCGTAAAATAAACACAGCGCGAAGCACCGAGCATCGATCATTCATTCCGCCGAGTCGTTTACTTAACCTTCCTTCTGGCAACTGAAGATCGCGGCTAAGTGGTTAACACGTCTGACGACAACCCAGGCCGCTGATTCGAGGCCAAACCCAGAGCACCTTAAAACATGCCACGACTAAGACAGATGAGCCTACATTTGAAAATAACACAACAGCCAGTGAACTGAATGAGTAACTACGGTCTAAAAACATCGCAACAGAAACTTCATCGCCAAGCGAGGAATATTCAGCCGTCAGACAGTCCACGTCCACTTAAAACGCGTCTCCCTATGGCACTTGGTGGTCTACAGCTCAGGATAACGACTTCCTCCGTCCCTCGACGTGTCTCAGACGCGTCTACGCACAAACGAGACCCAACTGGCTTGTTTTTAGTAAACTATTCCTTGAATCAAGTTCCGTTCTATTATTTTAACATTCGGGAAACGACGGGAAAGTTGTTCTGCGTCTTTAAGCAAGTAGAAACAATTGACGACAACACTGCGTTTCTTGTATTTATCCTGCTCAGATTACGAGACACCTTGCAAAGGTGAGGTACTCATAATGTTTTTAAAAAAAAATATGCAATGAAGGAATGTTATTAGTTTCAGAAAATCTTAAAATTTTTGTTCCCCGGAAAAAACACTGTCCACAGACTCGATGTATTCACTGACAAAAAAATTTGTTTCGTATCCTCGTATCTCACTCAACTCCATCTACTGCCCAGGTACAAATGTGGGCAGACATACATCCACTGCCCTACACTCGTTCACTCTGCATGGAAAACTGAATATTTTCAAAAATTCTATTTGCTAGGACGCACGGAAAACATAAATGGGAGAATAAAACAGCAAGACACATCATAGTAACTCAGGAGCTGGCTGTACCTCAACCATTTGAATCAGCAACTCGTCTGCATAACATTTTAAGGATGCAGTCCGTACCGCGAAGTAAACACCACACTTCACCATTACAAAGATCGAATGGTTTACCCTCCGATAGCCGAAGCTCGTCTGAATGATATTGAATAATTCAATCCGTACCGCGAAGAAAACACCACCCGTCACCATTACAAAGATCGAATGGTTAACCCTTCGATAGCCGAAGCTCGTCTAAATGATATTTAAGAATCCAGTCCGTACCGCGAAGTAAACACCACACTTCACCATTACGAAGATCGAATGGTTAACGCTGTTTAAGTAAATAATCGATGTTTATTCTGAGAATCACACGAAACAAATACAAAAACGTGGCATTACTGATTGTAGAAGTAAGTGGTATACAGTGTTACCACCGAGCTTTAACCAGTCGGCGGCTTCGGAAGCAAGAACTTGCCACTTCCCACAACATATTCATCACGAACACCACAAAACCGCCTTCTAAAAATAGTATATTTTCCCTGTCTTGGGTCTGTACCCCCTTACTCCTCGCACGCATGCACAAACACACACACACACACACACGTGTCTCACTCCAGCAAACCGAGACTTCTCCTGTCTAACCTTGCCAGGGCCATTATGTATTGACTTCGACGGCAGACGACGTCAAAATCCAATAAAACAATCCACTAAGACAGAGCCAAAAGGATTACGAAACAAAACTCGGGAGTATATTCGGAAGAGTCCGGCCCAGAACCAATTAGGCCTTTTTCTTAATACACATATTTACAGGCCTGTAAATCTTGTTCTTAACGTTGCACTTACAAAATGCAAGTGTCCTATAAAAGACGACTCAGTTTAGCTCATGGATTAATCACTACCACAACCTCGTGGTCATAGGATCGAATCCCAATGTCGCCGTTAACTATCTCACAGTAAATTAACTTACATCAGAACAGACGTAAAAGAAAATTGGGTAATAAATCTTTAGTGCTAGTTTTAAAACTAAATTCGGGATCAATGATTTTATCGGTTCACAGAGCCTGTAATGAGAATTCACCTTCGTCATTTAAGCTCTGACGCAGTAACACTATAATTACCTTCCGATTCAAGTTCTAACCAATATCTTTCGTAGTCTGTGGATATCAATGAGGAAACCTACAGTCACCTAAGATCACTTGACGTCAATCATCTCCTCAAGATATTAAAGAACAAAAAAGTTTGTCGGCAGTTCAAAAATCTTCATGTAAACACAAATCATTTCCTGAAGATTCGATGTAAGACGTAATCTCCATTATAAGCCTATCCCACATTTTGTAATTTTGCGCCAAGTATGAAAAATCTAGCGACCTTTGAATGAAACTGGAAAACGTGACCACGTGGCAGCGGAACGCGAAATCCCAAATGTCATTTTCGGTCTGGCGATCGCAACTGATCAACCAGGGCTGCATTTTTACTTTCACATGACTGTAGACAAGAACTCTTCTGTTCTGTCCAGGAAAGTGCTAAGCGTTCCAGAAAAAGACATCCCGGAAATTCTCATTCCGTCGCGTAAACTCAGACCTGGGTCTTAAACTCTGAAGATGCATATAACATGTTCCTCGTCATAATCCTACGACGTGCAACAAGTCAGAAGACCACGATCTGAACTATATATATATATTAGGGGTGCCCAATATTTTAGGCAGGCAAGCCTCATAGAAAGATATAATGTGCGACGAGGAACGTTCGGCATTCAAAAAATCTCCGCTGTAACCCACAAAAGACGGAACACTGCAATAAAAATCTTGTGCCTGCGTTTGCTCGACGAAAGAATTAGAATTTGGTTCAATTTTTGAGATACAAATTCACATCGCGTAAGAGCGCAACAGCGTTTCTTGAACGGAACGTACATTCTGTTCACGTGCCACCAAATTACTTAACTCGGAGATCCGAGATGCCGGCAAAGGAGCACAAGGGATGAAGCTTCGTGGTTGAAACTAATACTCAATATTGAGCGGCGTGCAGCTCAATCTGTTCTATTTTTTTAGCCTCAATCTCAAACATTTTGACGCAGTCACAAGATTGAGACACCTGGTTTCTGTATGGCACATGTCGCCATAATCAACGTCAATTTTAGATAAAGAATACTGAAACTGGCGAAGATTAAGTCCACGAGATGAAAAGATTTCCACAGCTGATGCCAAAATTTGCAATAAAGTGCTCAAAATTCAAAGTTTTTCCACAAAAAAAAAAATGACTAAACAAATAGCACGGTTACGTTTCATAAAAAAATTGAGGATCGATTTGTCAATTTCCTGCCAAATTCTATCCAAATTCTGTCGTAAATCTCTTCAGTTTGACAACAGCAGATAAACTTCCATCATGGTTTCACAAATGCTCAAAAACAGACCAGTCTGACAAACGCCGCAAGTAAAATTTAACTTCCGCTAAAATATTTAATCTACCAAACTACAGGTAGGCCCCGCTTTACGACGCTTCATTTTACGCTGTTTCACATTAACGCCCTTTTAAGAGCAAAAAAAATTAAGAAGAAAATTTGAAAATGCAGCACAGGAAGTGGGTACCTAGGCGGCGCTAGTGTCGGCGTCAGTCGCTTTCTCCTCGTCCGCCAGTACGACGCATTACAATTCTTCCTTGATTTACGCCGCTTCAACCAACGACCCTGAAGAGGTGGAACATAACCCCGTCGCAAATCGGGGTCTACCTGTATTTGCGGACAACGCGCTCTGATCAATCGGTAAACGATTCTACTCACCTGAACCGCCTTCGCTGTCTGTAAGACCCCCGGAGTCGTCTTCCAATTGTTTCTTGACTCGATCGACTGGAACGACCAAAAATAAAATCAACCGCTTATTGAACACGATGAAGACGACAAACTCTTCTAACCAAAGTTGTTGCGTGATGCGTAACACCACTCGTCCAAGGAATTAACGAGCAAGTAATGGACGAAATATTACTCCTCTGACACGTGTGCGCGCACCCGCGCATATAGATACCCTGCGTGTGAATCCCATTAATCTTTAAACAGACTGAAAACGTGACTAGCCGAACAGTTGATTCGAAACAAAGCGTTACGTCAAAAATTTAAAGAGACCACTTTAATTAAACGTTGTAAGAACATCTACATCAATGTTATCTAAGCCACTTCAAACGAAGCGTCTGATTTAGTGGGATTATAAAATGGAAGCTCTCACGTTGAAAAATTTATTGTCATTAACGGGGGGGCGGGGGGGAGACAAATGTAGTCGTGGTAATTAAACAAAATTATAAACCAATATCAAAGAGCAGACACAATTTTGAAAAAATTTAAGTTCTGTAGAAGTAATGATTTAGTTAAATGATTTCTACGTATCCTCGATAAAATCACGCACCTACCTACAATGGGTCCGATGGTTGGCAAAATTTGGAAGCCTCCGTCTTCATCTGCAGCATGCAAAAGAAAGCACACCGCATTTTACAAAAACCATC